CATGCTACTCATTCATGCGCATCAGGCTACTCATTCATGCGCATCATGCTACTCATTCATGCGCATCATGCTACTCATTCATGCGCATCATGCTACTCATTCATGCGCATCAGGCTACTCATTCATGCGCATAATGCTACTCATTAAAGCGCAGCATGCAGCTGTCGTCGCTCTTAGGTTGCCATTAACCTACAGTCCACCAAACTTAAGTAACTCTAATAATTTTATTTCATTTAACTTCATAGTTAAGTCAGACCTGACATTAACTCTCTCTATATACCGCCTGACACGAGTAACCGGAGCAATATTGTCACAAGCCTACTTCCCAAAAAGGATACGTTCTAGTGAGCGCAAAATGACTTGCACTGATGGTTGCCGCCACGTACGACAACTTTAAAATGTTCTCTGTTGCGTACAAACGTCCTCAGGTTGCTACACTCAATTGTTTACGTATAATTTAAGTTGAAAGGTATGTTCCCGGAGAGTGACATATAACGGCGGTAGAGGGTTAAGAACGAGCGTCGGCAGCTCCAACCTTTAGGGCCGTACTATTAAAAATAGTTACGAGTAGGCAACAAATTAGCCACTACGTATACTTCGGCGAGTAGAAGTTGAACTTATGGGCGCTTGTGCTATTTGACTTCAGTGTTGAATTAAATTAGAAACAAATGCTTAATTTGTCGTGTAAAATTGGGTGCTGATTTGCCACTTGAAATAAGGCAGTGATTATCCTGATGAAATTGGGTGGTGATTTGACGTATAAAATAGGGTGCTGATTTGCCATATAAAATAACGAGCTGATTTGCTTCTTAAAATTAAGTAGTTTCTTATTTGCCATATAAAATAGGATTCGCATTTTACGTATAAAATATAGTTCTGACGTATAAAAGAAGTTACTGACTTATGAAATATGGGACTAACGTATGTATAAAATATGGTTCTGACCCATAAAAGAAGTTACTGACGTATAAAAGAAGTTACTGACGTATGAAATATGGGACTAACGTATGTATAAAATATGGTGCTAACGTATAAAACTTAAGTAAACTGCTGTATGTACGTGTAATGCTGGGGTACAGACGGCGGCAGAAGTGCTGTCGTTCCACCTGCCGCTGCACCGCGTGCTGGCACTGTACCTGAGCCATGCTACGAGGGTGCTGCGTATTCCCCTCGCCAGACTCGTACCCTCGTTTGAGGTGCTGTCCCTCGCCATCGCACATCCTCTCAAAGTACAGGTTTGTCTATAGTTTAGGGGTTCAATATTCGTTAGGTTATAGTTTCGTGTTGTAGCCCTGGGGTTGTTCGTTTATGGTTTAGGGGTTCAATATTCGTTAAGTTATAGTTCCGTGTTGTAGCGCTGGGGTTGTTCGTTTATGGTTTAGGGGTTCAAAATTAGTTAGGTTAAAGTTCCGTGTTGTAGCATATAGTTTAGGGTTCAATATTAGTTAGGTCAAAGTTCCGTGTTGTAGCGCTGGGGTTGTTCGTCTATAGTTTAGGGTTCAATATTAGTTAGGTTAAAGTTCCCTGTTATAACGCTGGGGTTGTTTGTTGATAGTTTAGGGGTTCAATATTAGTTAAGTTATAGTTCCGTGTTGTAGCGCTGGGATTGTTCGTTTATAGTTTAGGGGTTCAATATTAGTTAGGTTAAAGTTCCGTGTTATAACGCTGGGGTTGTGTTTTAATATTTATTAAGTAAAGTTGAAATTACGTGTTGTAATGCTGGGTGTTGTGTTTTAATTTTAGTTTATTAACTTAAATTGAAATTACGTGTTGTAATGCTGGGGTTGTGTTTAATATTAGTTAAGTAACTTAAGTTGAAATCACGTGTTTTAATGCTGTGGTTGTGTTTTAATATTAGTCAAGTTATAATAACGTGTTTCATTTAAACCAGGACCGTATTTTAATATAACTTAGTTTGAGTTGCGTACGTGTTGTAATTAAGTAAGTTATAGTTAGGTGTATAAACACTGTTGTTTATACGCAGCTGATCTACCAAGAGACGCTGATCGGGCTGCACAAGAGCCCGCTGTTCGATATCCCGAGTCTATACTATACTATACTATATATATACTATAATATACTATACTATATATACTATACTATACTATATTATTTACGCAGCTGATCTACCAAGAGACGCTGATCGGGCTGCACAAGAGCCCGCTGTTCGATATCCCGAGTCTATACTATACTATACTATATATATACTATAATATACTATACTATATATACTATACTATACTATATTATTTACGCAGCTGATCTACCAAGAGACGCTGATCGGGCTGCACAAGAGCCCGCTGTTCGATATCCCGAGTCTATACTATACTATACTATATATATACTATAATATACTATACTATATATACTATACTATACTATATTATTTACGCAGCTGATCTACCAAGAGACGCTGATCGGGCTGCACAAGAGCCCGCTGTTCGATATCCCGAGTCTATACTATACTATACTATATATATACTATAATATACTATACTATATATACTATACTATACTATATTATTTACGCAGCTGATCTACCAAGAGACGCTGATCGGGCTGCACAAGAGCCCGCTGTTCGATATCCCGAGTCTATACTATACTATACTATATATATACTATAATATACTATACTATATATACTATACTATACTATATTATTTACGCAGCTGATCTACCAAGAGACGCTGATCGGGCTACACAAGAGCCCGCTGTTCGATATCCCGAGTCTATACTATACTACCTATACTATACTATACTATATAATATACTATACTATATATACTATATTATTTACACAGTTGATCTACCAAGAGACGTTGATCGGGCTACACAAGAGCCCGCTGTTCGATATCCCGAATCAAGTGAGCGCCTTCATCCACATCACCATGGGCCACATCACCATCTGTACGGACCTCTACATCCTGCAACTTGCTGCAGCACATCTACGTCCTCAAGCTGTCGTCATGGCAACCCTACACAAGTACTTTATCGTGCTATAACTTCGTTATATAATGGTTATGGTATTGTTATATGTTGTTTATGATGTTTAAATACATCACCATCTGTACGGACCTCTACATCCTGCAACTCGCTGCAGCACATCTACGACCTCAAGCTGTCGTCATGGCAACCCTTCACAAGTACTGTATTGCGTTATAACCTTGTTGTACAATCTTTATGATGTTGTTATATGTTGTTTATGGTGCTTTAATATTGTTGTATAATGTTAATGATGTTCTTATATAATGGTTATGGTGTTGTTATACGTTGTTTATGATGTTTTAATATTGTTATATAATGTTTATGATGTTGTTATATAATTTTGTTTTATAATGTTGCAATAATTCCCTAGATTGATTGTGTAGTGTTGGACTGGTACATGTCATCCTTGTCGCCAATTTTTTGTCGCTGATTGCTACCGCATTGGCTATTAATTGCTCACACGGAGTGGTGCCATCTATGCTGCACTAAGTTCCTCTTATCTCTGTCTTTATTTATTACTGGCACTGATTCTTGCCATTTATGACCATTATTGCTGTCTCTAATGTCACTGATTGTTGCCATTTATGACCATTATTGCTGTCTCTAATGTCACTGATTGTTGCCATTTATTACCATTATTTTTGTCACTGATGTCACTGATTGTTGTCATTTATTACCATTATTTCTGTCACTGATGTCACTGATTGTTGTCATTCATGACCATTATTGCCGTCACTACTGTCACTGATCGCTGTCACTCTTACCGTCACTTCTCGCCCTCGTCAGGTT